CTCATGCAGAAGACACTCTATCCCTGTGTCAAGCAAGCTGCAGGAGAAGGTATGGCGTTGCCCAAAGCAATAACCCTTCCACAGCCTCCCACAGGGACACCTAGGATCCCAGACGCACGGAGGCAGGCAGGCAGTCTCGCCCCAGTCTGCCTGCAGGACCCCAGGCAGCAATTTTCTGTAGGCTCCATTGCATCCTCTTGCTCTCCGTTGGTTTGTAATTACCCATTCTGCTCATCTTCACCATTGCTACATATATACCTGTGCGAAACAGCTCACAAAATGGTGCATAATGAAAGCAGACAGAGATCTCTGGCAACCTGGCCAAAACTGCCAAGCTGACAGAAAGGGGAGATCCAATGGAAAGGAAAAAAGAGGAAGAAGCTCTGGCCTCTGCCATGCATGGACATAAACTAAACACCGAAAAACTTCCTCCCTTTCCTTTTTCTCTTGCATACAGGCAAGAAGGAAACTTGATGAGGGAGGGAGACTGAACAGAGCAAAGAAAAACAGGGAAAACAGAAGGGAAGAAACAAGTGCAAGGGAAATAGGTCCATACTTACGATCTGAGCTGAAGTCATCTACCAAAATGATCTCCTGGATGAGGCTAGGAGGGGTCCGGTTCAGGACGCTGCAGGGACCCAGGGAGGAAAAAGACAATCTTTGTGAGCTGCCATAATAATGACAACGGTAGGACTGATACAAATCTGCTGTGCTTTGCGCCAAATTCAAGTAGTGTGGAAGAGGTAACCTTGCCCTTGTACCCAGGTTCATTGGCAGGAGCCAAACCAGGAATATCCCAGAGAGCTCTGTCATTTCAGCCAGACTTTACAACCACCCCCAGCCAGGAAGGTGACTGCAGGACTTGCCTGGGGGCAGCTAGCAAAGGACGCTGCAGCATGTTCTCACTTCTAAACAGAGAGGCAAAGAGAACACCACCTGCCCCGAGGCAGTCAAGAGGCAGTTCCCATCTGCCAGGTTCTGGGCAAAGCTCATCGCTACCAGGGAAGGAGCGGAAAGAGAGCTGCCACTTTCCCCAGCAAGGAGCTCAGTCTCAATGCCACAGATGAGGGCTGCTGGGGCTTTCTAACCCGCTCTCTTCCTTGGGAGGAAGGCAATTTTTTTGGCAATACTGTGGATTTGGGCTTTTTTTTTTCCTCTTTTGCTTGTTCCTTGTCTTTCTTCCAAACCAGCCCTCTTATTTGCTGAGAGCACCCACCTTTCCTCAGGCTGTTCACACCATACCCCACAATACCCTCGGGACTGCAGAAGGTTTGCATCTGCAGGTCACAGGGGCTTTCACACACAAGGAGGGCAAGAAAAGCTTCTGCCCCCCTCAGAGGTTGATGCATTCTCGTACCCTGGAGTCAGAGCACTCTGATTCTGACCTCTTTGTCTTTCTCATTTGTTTAAGACACTTGAACTAATTTTTCATAACCTTCTTCAAGTCCCTCCCCTGGCTCTATTACAACCACACATAATATTCCTTTTTCGAGCCTCCTTTTCCAGTGCCTCTATGCACAAGCAGGCCCTTATTGCCTTCAACGAGATTGCTCAGTCACATTCCGTCGCTCCAGCGATGAGGACAGCTATGCAAACTTTAATATTAAAAGACAGAGGTAAACACTGTTCTCATGGTTCTTGCAACCCACCTCATTTCAGTGGCACCCACTCTTCTGATTTTGAGCAATTCTGCAGAAAGATTATTGGCTTTTTCTTTTTTTCTGGCTTTTTTGTTTTATACAGAACAAGAGAGAGAAGAGAGAACAAGAGAGTTTTATAGAGAACAAGAGTGTGCCGGGTTTATGTGGTGGGGTTTTGGTAGTGGGGAGGGGCTACAGAGATAGCCCCTGTAAGGAGCTGAGAGAAACTCCTGGGGCTCCAAGTGAGACCTGCCTCTGGCCAGGGCAGAGCCCATCAGCACCTCTGTGAATGACACATTTAAGAAGGGACAAAGAAACCACCTGATGTGGGACGCGCAGTGAAGAGAGGGAGAGGTGGGGGCCTGGCCCCCAGCCTCCCGCACAGGCGGCCGGCCTCGCTGGGCTACCGGCCCGCACACGGGGAGGG